GTATAAGAGACAGCTTTAGTAGTAAGATAATGATTGTAGAGTTTTGATAACTTTAAGTGTATCATATTTGAGCAATGCTTAACCCCAAAATCATCGATAAAAATAATCTATTAATCATTATTTGTTGAATGATAATATTATTGACCACAAGAGATTTTTATATTTCTGGGAACCGTCAATGGTATATTTTTTGGAAGTGTTTACTATTGTATAACAGTTATACGATTAGATTGTATATTATACATTTTTATTGTAAATCATAATAATAATTGATGACCGATAACATATTCTGAATAATTATAATATTGTAAATTTAAATAATAATTTTAGATTTTTTATTTTTAAATTGTGTCAATTTGTTTTTTATTTTTATAATTTTTTTTAGTTATTTAAAATAATTAAAGTTGCTGTTTATCTTCATTTAAAGTTTAACCATTTCATTTTGATTTTTTTTTCTTTCTTTTTTTTAACGATTTTTCATTGTTGGTATTTTGTGTGTGTTTTTTTTTTTTTTAATTCGATTTGTATTTGAATATTTTGTATTATCCAATCTGTTATACGATTACAATAAAGAATTAATAAATTATGAATAGAACTTTGTCCACCAAGTTTTTAAAACTTTGGTGCTGTTTAGCGTTTCTAAACCTTATAGTGTTTATGTAGATTAAATAACTGGTGTAACGTAAAGTTAAAACAAAGTTTACTTTGATCTCAACTTTACGAAATTAACGATTTTTTTTTATTTGTAAATTGTGTCAATTTGTTTTTATTTTTGTAAATTTTTTTAGTTATTTAAAATAATTTAAATTTGCTGTTTATCTTCATTTAAAGTTTAACCATTTCATTTTGATTTTTTTCTTCTTTCTTTTTTTTTTTTCTTTTTTTTTTTTTGGACGATTTTTCCTTTTTTGGTTGAAGTTCTGCTTGCAGATATTTTGTGTTTTTTGTTTCATTTGTATTTGAATATTTTGTATTATCCAATCTTTTGTATAATCCAATAGAAATTTGTCCAACAAGTTTTTAAAACTTTGGTGCTGTTTAGCGCTTGTAAACCTTATAGTTTTTATGTAGGTAAAATATTACTGGTGTAACGTAAAGTTAAAACAAAGTTTACTCCAAAGAGCTAGCTACATTATAAAATGGCTACAGAAGCTTATTAATAAGCTAGATTAATACTATGATAAGTGCAAATTAACAGTTTAGTATTACCATTAAGTCTAGAGTTGATGTTTTTACAAATAGTATTATAAGTGTAACGAATATTATTATTATTATTATTATTATTATTATTATTATTATTATCTTAGTTTATATTTATTTTTTACTTTCATTTATATTAGCTAATATATTTAGTATGTAATATAATATAATATAATATAATATAATATATATATATATATATAATTATTATTATTATTATTATTATTATTATTATTACTACTACTACTCTCAATTGTAATTTAAATTTTCCTTTTAAGGCACCACGTTTAAAAGCTAATGCTTCCAGTGGTGGCCTTTTTCCATAGCCTACAAATCATAAATATTGTTTATATGCTATGGAAATAAATCTTTATGGAATATTGTATGACATCGAAAAACAAAAAAGTGAGTTGTGAAATTAAAGTTATATTGTATGTTAAAGTTGTTTCTCTATATTTAAAAAGACATGACTTTAAGTTATTATATTACGAGTAAGCAATGTAAACCATAGGGAGTTACTAATAAAGTTATATTTAGGACTCATATTTGAATTGGAAAATGGGAGATGTAAGAAAGTTAACAGAAAAAGATTTTGTAAAAGTTGTACCAATAATTATGTAGAGGAAGAACATTAGTGTACTTTGCAATGCACTCGAAATACATACAGAAATTTAAGAACTAAATACATCCCTTGATATAATTTATTTATTATTTCGAATTTAAAATTAGTCAATAATTTAGGAAAATTTATATACTTTGTGCTTGAAAGAAGGAATAATTATTAAAGGACGAATTAATATGTTTATTTATTTTGTATTTAGGCCAAAGAACTTTGTACCTTAAATAAATTCCCCGTCTAGGGGAAAGAAAGAAGTTTTCAGTAATTTGCAAAAATATTATGTTAATGTTTATGTTTATTTATTTATATCTTAATAAACTTTCGGAATATCAATGCATAAAGTAAAAAGTATATTATAAGGAAATAAATCCTTGATTTTTAACAGTAATTAAATGGTGTTATTAAATTAAAATATATTTCTTGGTACAATAAACAAATGAATCATAAGCCGTTTTGCAGTAATGCTATAATTATCCATACATTCTGAACGTGAACGTTAAAGAGGACATACGAGTGTAAATAAAAGTCGCCTCAACCGGGATTCAAACGCGTGGCCATCTGCTGTTTATTATACACATTTAGACCATTAGGGTTTGGCAATCAAAATAACGTTATTACGAAAAGCAAATTAACATTTTGGTCCGACGGCTGTCCGACGAGGGTTGGTGTGCCGATTGACCCCACGATTACTGTTTATGACCAGTTATCTTTTACACCAACTATAGCATTATTACTATCATTGAATTAACGCAAGCCTATGCATATCACATCACGTATGCATACTTAGTAAGATACTAGATTTAATGTGATACCATACTACTATAATAATAACCATCGTATAATAAAATAAAATGATAATTATCAATCATTATAATAAAGAAAGATAATAAGAATGGCAGTGACAACAACATTGATCATATTTATCAGATAGGCCTAGTAATAATGATAAATACGATTGATTATCATCACTAGGCACGCAGTTTTTTGAGAAGCAAAATTTGGAAGTAAAGCACAGTTTTTAGACTGATCACTGATTATTGAAGACGTTGTTTTTTTTGTCCCATAGCTCGCCAGATGTCAGACAAAGACATGTTTTATAAAGGTGTATCATATTGGTCTCTGTGTTACATGTAGTCTTATAGCGCTGCACAAAGATGACGATATAAATAGCACCCAATCGGATTCGATTTTCAAAGAGCTATTTTTTTTTATTATTTCATGATTAAAATCTAATTTAGGTTATAGGTATCGGCTGTAAAATGTTTGCGTTGTGGTGCATCTAAAGATAAGCTATGATAATTTTAATCAAATTTGAAATTTGATATTTGATAATTAACTTCGATCCTCGTAATGGTAATTAATAGCGATTTAAATAATTTATTTTTCATCGCAAAAGTGGATCAAACTAAACTGGAATCAAGGCAACCATGGCATTAATGATATACTCAATTTGTTTACATACATTATTCTAATTAGACTGCGTATGTTTACATTGGCTGACTATATAATGAAGGGAAAAGACACTAAAAAGGGCCTTTTTTGAGACGCAAACGTTGGAAGTAAAGCACAGTTTCCTAGACAGATCACTGCGTATTGAAGACGTTGTTGTTTTGTCCCATAGCTCGACAGGTGTGAGCCAAAGACATGTTTAATAAAGGTGTATCCTATTGATCTCTGTTACATGTAGTCTTATATAACGCTGGTCAGCACAAAGATGACGATATAAGGCTAATAGCCCCCAATCGGATTCGATTTACACAGAGCTATGATTTATTATGTCATGATTAAAACCAAATTGCGGTTATATGTGTCGGCTGTAAAATGTTTGCGTTGTGGTGCATCTAAAGATAAGCAATGATAATTTTAATCATATTTGAAATTTGATATTTGATAATTAATTTCGATACTCGTAATGTTAATTGATATCGATTTAATCATTTATTTTTCATCATAAAAGTGGATCAAACTAATCTGGAAACAAGGCAACCGTGATATTAATAATATACTCAATTTTTTTACACACATTACTCTAATTAGACTGCGTGTGTTTACATTGGCTGACTATATAATGAAGGGAAAAGACACTAGACAGGTCTTTCTTTGAGACGTAAACTTTGGAAGTAAAGCACAGTTTTTCGACAGATCACTGATTATTGAAGACGTTGTTGTTTTTTTGTCATAGTTCGGCAGATGTGAGCCAGAGAAATGTTTTTCTTAAAGGTAGTTACACTTTTATATTATTTTGTACATTTGGCGTCAATCGGTAAATTCGATGTGTAGATGACATCAGTGGAATATCTAGGAGGCTTGAAATGGGGACGGATGGGGGGACGCGAAGGTGAAGTGGCGGGCTAGATGATTAAGTGAGGGGCGCTAGCTCGCAAAAATAATGTGACATGGGGTGATTTTTATCTACTTGATTTTCTTGCTGTAAACATTTCCAATAGAGGGTAAGGAAACTGGAAGACGTGCCTTCCCCTAGATACGCCACTGGATGGCGTCCCTCATTCCCACACTTTTATCAAAGTAAGTAAAGACTATATCCATGTCTAAGAAAGTTTGAAGTAACGATGGCGATATTTAATATGTCATGTTTATACAGTGCACCCTCCAATGTGATATCCCTTTAATTCCGAGAAGCCTCTAATTGGAGACCATTTATCAAATAACAAAATAGGTCTTCAACACATAGGCCTAGCTAACCGTCTATAAGGTGTAGACTGACGTCTTGGGATTCGAATCCCAAGACCGTCCCGAATTTTCTCAAACTGGCGAGCGAACTGTACCTCCATGCTATAGAGTTGAACAAGTCATACTGCTTCACTCTGGCCGTATAGATTATCCTACCAAATTCATAAAATTAATTTTGAAGAACTATTTAAAAACCAAGTTAGACTCAGTGGCCAATCAAGGAATTCGAAATAGAGGGAGACCAGGGACGAAATTGTATAAATGGAGCGTCCATAAAAAAAAAGGTGTGATCATGGCAACTCTAGATGGCCGGAAGTGACACTATCAGATTTAAATTTGAATATAATTTTTTTTCTTCATCTTTTTTTTAATAATTTTGAAACAAAAATTATTGGTGTGGGTGGGGTGGTGGGGAAGTAGGCTGGGCCATCAAATCCGCCATTGCAACACTTGCTTATAGCCAATTATATTATGGCGCTCTAAAAGAACATGAAATGCAATGCATTAAGCATTATGAAGCGGCACAGACCGACTTATTTAGTGTACATCACATAGACAACCATTAAATATTTCTCAAATATATTATTTTAACAGGAAGTGTGGTTTCTGCTATTATTCCTTGTTGGATATTCTACAGGTAAGAATAAAAAGTGAAACGTATTGTTATTACATTTTTCATGGTTTACATTGAAATAACGTGAAGAATAGAGAAGTAACCAGGGTCTTAGTTGTATAAACACCCTTTGGGTGTATACAAAACGAAGACCGAAAACTCCAAAAAAAAAACGATTTTCTTTTCAATTACCTTATGAAAGTATTTCGAAAACATCATAAAGACAATGCCAGGTACCATTTTCTTCATTTAAGAAAAATACTTTTATCTCCTGTCCTCAATGCTATCATTCTTAAATCACTCTCTACCTTATTTTCATAATACAAAAATATCTTGTACTATCAACTTGCCTCTGTAGAGAAATTTTGTCCTGAAATCTAATGAATGCTATAAAGTTTATAACCAAAATATTTATGTAGAAATACATTAATTTATAACTCCATGAATTGTTCTGACTTATTTGCATTATGCTTTAGGTGATGATAGTGAGCTCAATTTGAATGTGATAGGTTTCACTTCAACTCCTGCTGTTAAGGGGTATAAAATAGACGAAACTGTTATTCAAGGTTTCAGTTCCGACAATTCAAGTAAAATCACACTCAGCATTAATCGGTTAGCCAATCGGGAGGAGTTTTCAGGAGAACAACTTTGCAACAGTAGTGATAATATAGTGAATAGTGGTGTTCATCAATATGTCGATTGTTCTTGTCGTGGCCCTAAGTCCTGTACAGCTGAAATTAGTTGCGAACCTGCAGGTGACTGCTCTGTTGACGCCCGAGTCGGTGTATTCACAGCGTACGCTGAAAAAGGTTCGCGAAATGGCACCGCTACAATCATAGTTCACGATTACAGGAGTAAGGATTTTTTCTCTCTCTCTTTTGTGGTCACATTTATTCATGTTCTTATCATTTTCCATACATTTATTAAAATTCATAACTTTAATAATATACGTTGTAATTAAAGTTATATTCATAGTTTCAAACATTATACGTCTGGGGCGGATGCAGGGGGTGCAGAGGGTGCGTCGCACCCCCTTAATTGTATTAAGAAAAATAATTGTTGTATTATATTGTTGATATGAATTATTGGTAAGATTTTTACGGTACATGAGAGTGCAATTTCCGGGCACCCAGAGATCCATATTCTCAAAATTTTCGCATCAGCCCCGGTTGTTGGGGCTGAGGTGGCGGACTCCCACGCACCCTTGGGCGCAGATCATGGGGGAAGGGATAAACGTCCTGGGGTGGCGCCAGGATTTTCCCGACGGGGATGGGGTCCTGAAAATTGTAAACATAAATGCATAAATGACCTAGTTTTTAACGAAAGAGCGCTGTACAGCCAGAGTACATCTTATTTTATAGCAAAATACCTGTATCTCTGCCCACAAACATCTGAATTACCACAAATCAGCTTGGAATATATTGTGATATTTGTAATCAATGTTTCCATCGTGTCTGCAGTGGACTTAATGAATTTAAGTCCCACTCATCCAATGAAACCTACCCCTTTGAAAACGAAAGATGGTGCTGGGATAGAAGTTGCGAAGTACGTTAATTGAGATAGACCTAGAGTATTGATAACTGTTATTCTGAATAACAAACTAATTAAGGTTTCTCCTTTTCCATGACATAATTAATTTTTTTAATTTTCTTATTTTTTAGTCCATATTTTTTTCATGGCTTTTATCAAATGCAAAGGAACCCACGTACATTGATTTTTATTTCCAAAGCCGATGTAAAACCGATTGTTCGTGCGAAGACCGTCAGTGCAGGTGATAGCAACGTTACGTTGGGCGTTAGAGAAGGGTCTAATAGAAATTTACGATGGAAGAAGGACGCAGTTCTAAACACAACACGGAACGATATGACGGAGATTTTATTCGACACGATTTCCTTAGCTGATGCTGGGATTTATGAATGTTATGATGAAGAGAATTCGGAAGAACACCACGCTTTTATGCAGCTGATTGTAAGAGGTAGGTTGTATCATTGATTCATTTTAATCACTTCCACACGGACATTACATTACATTATAGAATTTTGATTTCATAGTCAAAAGTCAAACTTCCTGAGCCCCGCTATGTTTGACTTAAGTACCGTAATGTCATTCTCATACATTAAAGATGTTTTTCAATGTGTCTTAATTTGATAATTAAAAGTTCCTCTTTTTTTAATAAAATCGGAGACATGATGTTGGTAGACCTTCGAATTCATGTTGACATTTAGGAGGTGAGGAGAGGGTAACAATGGTAACCTTATAATCAGAAGGATATATTTAAGAGAAACATACCCACCTCAGCCCCACCATGGTCGGGGCTGAGGTGTGAACAATTTAGGATATTACATCTGTAGACACCCGGAAATGATGCAGTCTCATACTTTAATTAAAATAACTATATATTTTTAATCCAATGAAAGTCAATAAATTTCACCGAAGTCGAAAAGTTAAAGTAGACTAACCTCTCATCAAAATTTTAGGGTGTTTAGATGTAAGAATTTGTCACATCAAGAAGCCTTTATGACCCGTTCAGGCTTAGAAAATGAGCATAAGAATACTATCATTCCTGAAATCGAATAAAACATTTTGAGTATAAATTCTGGTTTAAATGTTAAGGAATGTCCTCATAACGACGTGGATATGGGTGACTGGCCTAACCAATATTTTCATAGGGCCTGACTAAAAGTTTATTTAATGATAATAACAAGTATTTATATAGCGCCAATTCAACAATTTATCAGAGGCGCTAGGTGAGTAATTAAAGCAAGTTAACGTTCTAGAATTAGCCCTAGTTATATATTATTTTACATTGATAAACCTGCACGGTAAAATGTTTGGGGAAGTATGCTTAGCCCCACCCCAGTAATTTCACCCCTAGCGAGTTTATCCTATAGCAAATATTGGAAAAAGTATCTTCTTTTATCTTTGACATTCCACCAAACAATGATTTTCTGGTTTTATCTACTTAATAGCATTCATTTAGTATTAACATGTATTTAGCAGGATTGACTTGTGTTTCAGAGTGTCCACATAATAAATGGTTTCCGCCTAATTGCAACATGAGCTGCGAGGTGTGCTACAATGGAGGAGTATGTGATACATACATCGGAAACTGTATTTGCCCTTCGGGATTTAAAGGAACTAATTGCACAATACGTGAGTTTAAATTATTGAATACACTCTTATTTTCAAGGAGTAATTTTAACATTAAATTAACTTCTTGAAAATAACAGTGTACAACATTCTTCAATTTTATTATATATTTGAAGGGTGATTTATGCAGGACTTGAAGGATCTACTTTTAACGAAATTGTGTTTATTTTGAATTTATTAGGCTTTGCCTATGGTTTGTATATAACATCTTGAATTTTATAAATATAAATGATCATGCTTTATACTGTTTATTACGGAAGCTTAAAGTGACCTTCCGCGTTTCCGAGTTTCCAAGATAATTATCATGGAAACATGGAATAAATACTTAGTAAGACGTCTTTCCGAGATAAATTATCTTGGAAAGACGGATTTCCGAGATAATTTTTCTTGGAAAGAGTGAATTCCAAGATAATTTATTTCGGAAAGACGGAATTCCAAGATAATGTATCTTTGAAAGACGGAATTCCAAGATAACGTATCTTGGAAAGACGTCTTTCCAAGATATGTTATCTTGGAAAGACGGAATTCCAAGATAACATCGAGGAGACGAAATTGAAAATTCAAAGATAGTCTTAAAGCTGTAGTAATTATAAGGAAAGTTGAGCTACCTGTAACTTACCAATGGATAGGCCTATATTCAATTTGTTCAAGTTCAAAGTTGTGAGTGAATATTGTTGTATTTCATTGTGTGTTGTTCTGTATTTTCACGCATTGTTCTGTATGTACGCATCAACATCTGCTTATAAAAACGCATGAAAAATAGGCCTACGTTAATTGTTAATGTATAAAAATTAATTTCGTTTTTTTGTGCCCAAACTTGTTTACAAAAACGTAAAGCAATAATAGCATATTGACTACTATTGTATATTTTCGGAAAATATTTCAGCCGCTCCAAATCTCTTTCCTATTCTTCCTTCTTTCTTTATTC